TATATATGATTAAACAATAATAGTACTATATATAAAATACTTTAAATAAAGTACTATAAACTGAATTCTTGACTTGCAGTGGGTGAGTGCCAAGCCTGACAGGACTGGACTTACTTTGATAAATTTCCGCAGTGCCTCATGTCTCAAAAATATTGTTCGTTTATGAGTTCACTTTATTTATTCGGTGTTTCTTCACTTTGGCTAAACTCTTTAGCTAAATGAATCAACTGGCTCCCTACAGAAGTCCCCTTTTATTATCCAGTGCAAGCCTCTAGTGGCGATCAGATCGTATACTAACAATCCCAGTCCCCTCCTTTTGTTGGGAACACATAACTGGAAAGGTTAATGAGAAGAGCATAGCAATTGAGAAGTGGGAGGCAATAGAGAGAGGGAGGGAGGGAATGTGGAGATGATGTAGGGACAGTTGAAAACCTAAAAGCTGACAGATGGGCTGCTTTCAGTTTGTATTCCCCTGAGAAGCCTTTAGCAAAGCAATACCTTCTGATCAGACCCAGGGAAGGGGGCAGTGACAAAGCCACAGGGGCATTGACAGGACACTAGTACACAACTTTTCACCAATACTCATACTGATTTCTTATGCAATGTTACTTAATTACTTCTTTATAGTTTCTGCATTGCCTTAAACGATTCCCAAAGAAATTATATTCCTTTGGCCCCCCTACCTGCAATTTTCATAAGACTGTGCAGCAGTATTTGTGTGCATTTGTTCATATGTATTTTTTATAGCACCAACATAAAGCTTTAGAGAGTATCCATAATCACATTTACTTTCTACCCCAGTGGAGCTAATACTTCACTGTTCCCACCACAATATCAGAGGTGCAGAGATATGGCTTGACATACCTTGGTTCCAATGCAGGATATGAGTAAGGCCACCTTGAGCTTCAGTCCTATGTCCACGGCTCTAAACTTAACATCTTTAAAACCTATGACCCCCTGATGCTAACATGCCCATCCAACTATGTCCTGCACCTAAAACATTGAAACCCCTATAATGTCTTCTCCACACCTGACTCTTCCCTCCACCTTATTCCTACAACCCTCTCCAGGTCTCCACAATGTCTCCTTTTTACCAGGACACTACTACCTCTAGTCATATGAAGGGTATTATGTGCTCCTGCTTTTGGTGACTAATTGACAACTATGTTAGTAAGCCAGAGAGCTGGAGCGCACAGTACACCTCCTGTCACCACAGGGGACCTACACCTGAGACTTTCCATGGAGGACACATTTCAAGACAAGATGGTAAGGAGATCCCTGCCCGTGAGAGCATACAATCTAACATAACTGCAATGAAAACATAGACATTTTATTCAAATCATATGATCATCCATATGTACCTATGTATGTACTCAGCATACAAGAGAATCTAGTTTTATTTGAGGGTGACATTAAAGGAGAACTATGGGGTCAGTGCTTTTCCCCATAGTACTGCTTAGGGTAACGGGAGGACACAAACTAGCGTCCTCCCGTCACCCTAGGCTCAGTATACCGCGAGCTACAGCTCGCAGTATACTGAGATGCCGCACTCGGAGCGGATCCCGACATCGATGTCGAGATCCGCCCAGCTGCGTGAGTGACAGCTGGCTCTGCCTATCTAGAGGCAGAGCCAGCTGTACCCGCCCCCTCCCCCGTCCGTTCCGCCAGTCAGCGTTGGCAGATTGGAGCGGGGAGAGGGGAATCCAGCCCCTCCCCTGTCACGGCAGAAAGCCGTGACAGGATCGAGAGGTGAGAGAACCCGGTATGTGTTCGCTCACCTCCCGATCTACTGAGCCCACCTGTGACAGTCTCATTTTCACAGGTCGGCTAGAACTATGAGGTGAGTGAAAAGCACTCACCTCATAGTTCTCCTTTAACCAACACTCAGGAAAATCCAACCTTATTAACTGGCTTTACTGTGGAAAATCCTCATGGGGTCACCACAACCAGGCAAGAATATGCCAAACTCCATGGCACTACAAGAAACTACTGTTCCAGGAGCATTCTTCAGCTGTTAAAAAATGTTTGAGTTCCTATGGCACAGCACCCAGGGATCATATACCCATGTATACTGGCAGAGAGAGCAGCATGAATGTGCACATTAGTAGTGGAAGGTTTTGGAGGATGACGGGATTTACTTGACACCACTCTCTTTGAAAGTCATATGAACAATTGGAAGATTCCTCCTCTATTCCTATTCTGGTTACATTTTCCCAACTTTAGATTTTTTTTATTGGTTCATATGCATATTTGACATTGCCGTGTACATTCATAATGAGCAAGCAGATACATTGGCACATAATACATCTATCAGACATCTCATAAACCATATCACCTGAAATCTCTTTTACATTCCAACTAGTCGTAGATCTACACTTGTACTGCAAGAGCGGGTGTAAGTATATGCATAATTAAGCTGTATTGTGTAGTCGGGGATAGAATAAACAAGAAACATAAAAAAATAAAAAAAATAAAATAAAACAGAGACTAACTATACTTGTTAATCTGTAACCTTTATCCAGGGGTATGTAATGCAATAGGGCCACATCCAGTATAACGACCCGTCATATCTGTATTCTGGTTACATTTTAACATTTTGTATTTTCTATCTCTTTAATTTCCAGTGATCACCAGGAAAGACTAACAGGGACACAGACAACCATAAGAATCCTACAGAGGTTCTATCCCCTCACCACCCAAAAAATACACTTTTTAGCTTTAGATGTACTTCAAAGGAGAACTATGAGGTGAGTGATTTCCACTCATCCTCATAGTTAGAGCCGACCTGTGACATAGAAGCTGCCTCTAGATAGGCAGAGTCAGCTGTCACTCACGCAGCTGGGTGGCTCTCAACAGTATGATCGGGATCCGTCCCGGCTGCAGCGCTCAGTATATCGCGGTCAATAGCCTGCTATATACTGAGCTTTGGGTCATGGGAGGAGGTTACTATATGTCCTCCCGTGACACTAAAGAGAACAATGGGGGGGAAAAACTCACCGCATAGTTCTCTTTTAAAGTAAACATTTCTGAGGAGAAGGAGCTGCCATTACTGGTTTACCTCATAAAATGCTATTTACCTAGCTGTTATGCTGACCCTCTGGTTTTAGTACATTCTGGAACAAGTATTCAGATTAGGGAAGTCGGAGTAATGTCAGAAGTCCCTATATCTGCACATGTATTCCAGGCAAGTGACTTATAGCACTGAAGCAAAAGTGTCAGCATGATATCCAGGTAGAATGAGATGTCAACAATAGCAGCCTCCATATTTGTATCAGGGATTGTTCACACCAGCACGCCCAGTGTTTAGGTGTACAGGCTGGTGTTCGCTGTGTGCCAGCGGTGGGGTGATGCCTTGCACTGTTACAACAAGAGGCACTGTTCACTTTTTGTTTAAACTTTCTGGAAATTTCAAAGTGATATTTCTTTCTCTTGTATGCACCACAGCTCAGTTGTGGTGTGGCAACCAGCACTGATATGAGGTGAGGTACAGAAAAATTCAACATGTCTGCATCTTTCACACTGCAACCCACCTCAAAGCAGCATTGTGGTGTAAACAGGGCACAGAGAAAACATTTTTTTTCTGGGTGCCCCTGCAATGACTGGAATTGATCAGATGCTGAAACACCCCTGTCACTGCACATGGTGTGAATGAACCCTTAAAGTGTATGTAAACCCTAAAAATAACCTTCTCTTCTTAGCTCACTTTTGGTCTCTTAAATATACTATTGGAAGCACTTTGTTATATTTGTTTCATAAGTGCAAAAAACCCTGTTGATCTAGTCAGAAATCCAGAGTTGTCCTAGGCCCTGCGCACTCTTCCTGTGTTATCTCAAAGAACCTATTTAGCCCTCAATTCCTATCTTGGACTATAAAACGATAAGCTTTTTTTATGTGGAGATCTGAAAGTGGAGTGGTTCAGAAGTTTAGCAAAGGACACTGGGCAGAACTGACACTACTCACCAAAAAAAGCTGTGTGCTGTCAGCCCACAACAGGACTTAGGAGCTGAGTGCATTTCTGGCAGACCAACTAGTATTTTTTTTTGTGTATTTACAGGGTCTATAAAAATAATGTATTTCTACAGTATATTGAATTTCCGCAAGTTCAATCCCACTCCTAATAACCATATTGATCTAGAAGTTTATCAACTTACTTATTGAAGATGCCCATAGGATGTACTTCCTCCATGCACTGAAACAATTTCACTTAACCCTGTGAATACACAACTGTTGCAAAGCTTACCTTCTGAACTACAACTTAATGCCTGAACAATGTAACATTATCATTGCTTGATAGAAGCAATGCATGAAGGTATATGTAGTCTTGAGAAATCAAGATTGCATCACATCAAGAAGCAGGCAAAAGAGATGCAAAGCACACTGGGAATCCAGGAAGTTGTTGAAATTGATAGGCAGACAGAAGGCAGCACTCACTATGTCAAATGGATTTTTTCAAGTAAGCTTTGATTGCATTATCAAAAGCAACTCTAATATGTATTCCTATTACAATGCCGATGTTATAACAGGTTAGTATATGCTGGGACTTTACAACTCATTTAATGAGCTGAAATACTGGGAGGTGTGCATGCATTGCAGAGATGCACTGCATAGTTTTCCTGAGAGATCTTAAAAATCTCTTTGGTAATCTTAATTAACAAGGTCATTACTTACTAACAGTTCCTTTACCAAACCAGACACACAATAGTAGTTTTGTATTTGTTAGCTTCAAATGTAACAGAATTACTGCACAGAAAAACACGAAGATGGACCGTGAGAGCAGATCAGCCAAATCAGAGCTTGAGCAGATTAAAAATGATTTTCCATCACTACCTATGCCATAAATTAGCAGTCATTGAGTTTCCCCAAGCTCTCAAATGCAAATAGTGTCACACGCTAAAGTTTATATTGAGGGGAAGTGGTGAATAAAGGCCTTGTAAAGACTGGGCAGTCTCTTCAGAAATGTTGGTGCAGACACAGCCCGGTAACAGATGTGACTGCCTTAGGACAATAGGACTTAGATGAGAGGCACGAGCAGAGACACAGAAGTGAGACAAAGGGAAGACAGGCTGACTTGTCAGACAGAAAGCGGGAGAAATAGCTGTTCCATATGCTCTCTTCCACCAGTTGGGTGAAAAGAAGGCTCTGTTGTAACACTGCAGGCTGTTTTCTTACAACCCCCCCTCCTTGCATTTACCACCTCCAATGCACCATTTTTGCCATGTGAAGCTAGAAAAATCAACCTGTTGCACCCATCTGCTCCAAGTTGAAAGCAGAGAGCTATTTTATTGACAGATTTATAGAGCCAAACATGTTATTTTCAACCACTTATGCCACTGGGCGTGCATGGTGCTTTTATTCAAACGCTTGTAATTTCTAATGAATTAATTGTTATTGTCTACCCAGAAGCTTCGTCTACTAATCACCAGTTATGTTTATAGTGTGAAGAGCAGAGACTGCAGAGCCCTGGAATACTTGGTATTAGGAAACTTGAAACCTGCAAAAACTAAGGTAAACCTTTGTTCCTTTCTGCTACAACTGTTTCAAAAGTAGTACTCAACAACCCCCAAATTTGTCAAGCTCAGCAGACATGGGGGGGATTTATCAAAACTGGAGCAGGCAAAATCTGGAGCAATCAGCGCCTCTCTTCAGTTTGCTCAGGTAAGATTTGAAAATAAAAGATAGAAGCTGATTGGTTTGTCTGCTCCAGTCTAGGTAAATTCCCCTCATTGTATTTGCAGTTCATGCCAATAATAAAGCTAGCCATATATGTGTCAATCGTCAGTCAACTTGAGGTATGGGGAATAGCAAAAACGATTGCAAGTAAACACAAAATATACAAAACTGTACAAAACAGAGCAATCTACCACTAACAAGTTTGAACAACCATCAGAATTAGGTCAATTGTGAAGTGGTAACTGGGCAATAAATTGACAGATCCAAGACAGTTTTGTGAAAGATTGAATAAAAATAGAATTGAAAGAGGCAAAATGATTTATTGTATATCGATCACATTTTTTCCACCCATTTTAGATCCAACCTCCTTTCGTTCCAACAAAACCACAATTTTGTGTCTTCAATTGCCCAAGCAACAGGCCACTTTCTTCCAGTTGCTTGGGATACCCTGTAGGTTTTCAAGACAATACTTTCTCAACCCTGTTAATGAGAGGAATATTAGTAACAAGTCCCTCCTACTGTGACGTGGGGTCTTCACACTAGGCAAAGGTTCCTAAAACTACATTTGCGTGGGGCGGCTGTCGATTTCTGCAGCAAGAACCTAACAATTCTTGCTGCAGGAATCTCAGGTGTGTTCATACAACTGTGCCCATTCAAGTTAATGACAGGCTGACAGTGGCTGCATCTCTCAGTGGCAGTCTGCATGTTATCGTACATGAAAAGATTACCTGTGGTTTGGGATAGATGATTGTCCCGGGATGCAATCTGTCTGCATCCAGGGACAATAATATATCCTGAACCGCAGGTATTTATTCCATGTACGATCACATGCAGGCTGCTGCTGACAGATGCAGCCACTGTCATCATCATTTATTTGAACGGACACAGCGGCCACATCTGTACAGACACACCTAGGATTCCTACCGCAAGAATCCTTAGATTCTTGCGGCAGGAATTCCCAGGCACCCCGTATGTATGTAGCCTTACTAATCGACACTTCCTGTGGTTCACCCTACTGGCCGCCTGATCACTATAGCTCTGCAAGGATAGAGTAGTGATGTAGCGGCCAGTAGAATGCAACACAATGCGCAGCGAGGGACGCAGGCATCCAACACTGGAGTGTCAGATGCTTAAGATTCTTCAGCTGATGTAACTGTGCAAGAGAGAGAAGTTCAGAGTCACAGACAGCAGGACTGGAATTATTCCTCTTCTTTTACAAAGTGCTTTTTTATATTATTTTTAGTGAGGGTCCCTTTAAAAATTAACTCCAGGGAGCAATTTAAAAAAAAGCATTACATCCAATGTGCATTTATTAGAAAATAATTAAATGCATTTTACTAGACCTATCTAAATCTGCTTTGATATTGCTCTCCTGTAATCCCCTGCACAGCAGCACTCAGAATGGATGAGGATTGGTCAAAACCTTTATTAGGGGCTTTAATGTTTACAAGGAACATTGGAGCTTATAGGAGAAAATAGGACAGGGGTGAGCTTATACATGTGGATCTACTCCATCAATGTCCAATTACAGGAAGGGGGGCTGTAGTGGAATAAGCTGTATTACTTAACTGTACTGCGGTCTACAGGAAGGCTCAGGTCCGGGCTTTGCTGTCTAGATCACAAGATTGGCTAAACTGAATTACAAGTCCATTATAAGGTAAAACAGTTATACATACTGTATATGGTACATATTCTTGAATTTAGCGTTAACCTGATTAGCTTTGTGAAACGAACATGTTTCCTGTGCTAGCAGAAAGTGAAAAGCAATTCCCTAAGAGAGTGCCTTTTTTACATACTGGCTTCATCCCCTATAAGAATGGGGGAAACCCATAAACCTTCAGACTTTTAGAATAAATAGTGAATCATCTCAGTAAAATGTGCATTCTGTAACTAAACATTGCAGTGAGAAAAGATACAGTCAAATCTCTGACAGGAGGATAAAACTGCTGTCATCCTTTTGCCATCTGTGTCTCATTAGAGTGATTCTCTTCACTTCCTGTCCTATAGACTCAACAAAAAGTGAGAAGATATATATCCAATGTGAGAAAAATCCTCTCAGTTTTCAATCTGTGATTGCAGCAAGATATGTCACGGACTTCTACTCTTATGTAATGCTAGAATAGACTTCATTGTTCAATGCGAGACACAGAAGGCTCAATTCACAAAGCATTACACAAGGATAAGTATCTTTATGTTCAGTCATGTGATTGTAATTTTCAAATCTCATTGGACTATGCTGAAAATAACTGTCACTTTTTCAAAAATAAATGTTATCTTGGTGTTTTAGCTTTATGAATTGAGGCTATGGCATTCATTGTGTGTTTTTTTTTTTTTTTGAGCACTGTGTGTTTTTTCTTTTCTTATATTTTCATATTATTTTTAATTTTGTGCGTGGCTTTTGTGTGCCATTGAGGATAGTGAGAAATAGTTTAAAAACATAAACATTGCTTATGCTATATAGGGAGGTTAATACATGTGGACTTGGCGAAGCCTTTATTTCATCAATCCGCTCTGCCCAGAGGAATCATATAATGAATAGAAAGGGTTAAACCTGAAGCTGAAGCAGAGAGAGGACCACCAAAACCTTGTGCTATGCCTCCAGCTAGGGGCTGGGCTTACTTACAACCTTTGTAAAGGGGAAGGAGCCGTTAAACTGCTCATTCCAGCAGCAGCCACTCAGACAGGGAGCTGTCCAGCTCTGCAACAGCCTGAACTAACTCAGGTGACAACATTCAAAGCTCCGCTTGTGCAGCCAAGTCCTGAACTTTTTCCATTCAAGAGTAAGGTAAAGACACTATGCTCTGGTTTCATTAATTTCAACCTTCCGTATATGTTATGGCTAGCTTCTAATATGCATTGTTTGATGTTTAATTCTAGGAGCTGCTATATCACTTTCCTTTTATATTATATATATATAAGTAGTGAAAGAAGGTAATGTTGTGCAAAGGAATGTACACAGTACATAGAATATACATTGGTCTGCTCTGCACACTGTGCTTCACGGTATATATTTGATACCACAAATGAGCTCAGTATTCACATATTAATAGAACTTATTAGGACCACAAGGATTTTTAAGGACTAGAAACTGATATCCAATTTTAAAAAAGGGCTAACGTTCGTTACTAAAAAATAAAGTGCATTCAGCGCACCATTTTTACATATATACATAACATTAAAAAATATATACTGAATAGAAAAAAAAAGATTGAGAGTTTATTTAGACTTGGAAATGCTGAGGTATTAGCATGAAAAAGGAGGACAGTTCTTAGACAATACATGCAATCGAATGAGACCTGGGAGACACCTGAGAATAAGCATCTTGCATCTCCAAGCATGCATATTGTTTTCTATTTCAATTCTGCAAAGCACTAAATTAATATGCAGTCATATCAAATCAGGACAAAATATACAACAGATATGATAGCTGTTCTTTGAAAAAATAGCAAAATGTCTAGGGAGCACCTAATGAATGGATATTTTACTTTCTTCTAGGACAAACCTAACTTTGAGCTTAGTTGACCCATCTCTATAATGTTGAATTGCATTACAACAGACTGTAAGAGATAAGAGATAGATAGATAGATAGATAGATAGATAGATAGATAGATAGATAGATAGATAGATAGATAGATAGATAGATAGATAGGACTCCATTGAAATGGTTTCTGTATCACTTTTTTTACACTTTTTTTATTTTATGTAGAAAAATCAATATTCCCAGCAAGTACAATACAAGCATGGGGTTATTATGCTTGTCCCTGTTCCACTCTGTGTCCCTTCTTCAGGGCCTGGACTGGGGAGTTGGTCCCACAGCATCCACTGCCCATACAAATGTGCATTTCTTATCACATTACACTGTGCCCTCCTTTAATAAATAGGAACTAATATGTTAAGTGTTTTCTCTAAAACCTTGTGAAATAAAATGTCAGTGGTATTTGAACAAGTTAAATAAATAGCACTTAGTACAACAGTACTTAAGAATTGTGTTTTAGCCAATATCTAGAAGGGGCAGTACTTTAGAATTATATCATATTCTGTTACTTCAAAAGAAGGACTAAAAATGCACCTTGCCTGTGTAGGCAAGAATTCTAGCACCGGCCCTGCTTACCAGAGTTTTAATTTTTATTTTTAGAGGAGATGAGAAATAAATGGATAAAGAGTAGTATACAAACTTGTTGGTATGATGCAGCTTTGTAGCTGCTCTGAAATATTTCTTATTTTTTCAACCAGTATATAACGGTGAAAGTTACAATCTAACGGATTTGACAATGTTCAGAAGTTTTGCAATATGTGCATTAGGAAGGACTAGGAAGTATAGAGGACAAGCATATCTTTCTATCCCTAAGACAAGGAAAGTAGCAATGTACCAGTTTATTGACATGAGTATTTTTTTCCTATCATTGCAATTAAAGTAACTGATACAATGAGGCTAATTTACTGATTTAAGTGTTAAAACGCATATCACATATCAATATTTACACAATTTATTGAGTGAAGATTCTTAACTACATTAGTAAGGCAGGACACATTTTTTTTATTACCCAAAGTATTAAATGTAAGAAAAATAATATGGCAATTAAGTATAAAAAAGTACTGCAGCAAGGGCATAATGTGGTCTATATGACTTATAGGGTAAAAGCATTGGGCTGTAATATGAAATTAATTATGCCCTATCCTTAATCATCCTTAATTTCTCCATGGCATTATAAAACCTGTTTTACACCTCCTAAGTAATACACTAAATATTTTAGTGCTCTTTAGTGAACTTAAATTAATTCTCTTTTTGTGGTCTCTTATCACAGGACACACTGCTGAGAAAACCCAATAAGGGCAGAGAGATGTCTGAGATGGTCAGTGTTCATGGGTGGATGGAGGAGGCTCTCAGCTCTCAAGATGAAATGAAAGATGCAAATCAGAGACAGTCTGCCTTCGACATGCTGTCAGGTTTGAGTCATGAAGAACATGGGAGCATTGATGGAGAGGACGATGAAGAAGAGGAAGATGATGGGGAAAAACCAAAGAAGAGGGGACCGAAGAAAAAGAAGATGACCAAAGCTAGGGTTGAAAGGTTTCGTGTGAGGAGGGTAAAAGCCAATGCCAGGGAGCGCACAAGAATGCATGGACTTAATGATGCCCTAGATAACCTAAGAAGAGTCATGCCTTGTTACTCTAAAACACAAAAGCTGTCCAAGATTGAAACACTCAGATTGGCCAGAAATTATATATGGGCATTATCTGAGGTTCTGGAAAGAGATGAAACCACAGAGGGGAAGAGTTTTATGGAAATGCTCTGCAAAGGGCTATCACAGCCCACCAGCAATCTGGTAGCTGGATGTTTGCAGCTTGGACCTCAGTCCTTGTTCTTGGACAAACATGAAGATAAGCCACATATGTGTGATTCCTCACTGGGTCATGCCTACAGTTATCAGTCCCCAGGTCTTCCAAGTCCTCCATATGGTAATATTGAAGCTCACCATTTGCACTTGAAAGCTCCCACGTTTAAAACTGTGGTGGACCCATCCATGGTAAGCCATGCATTAAACTGTACCACACCCCCATATGAAGGTGCACTCACTCCCCCTCTGAGCATTAGTGGCAATTTTTCCTTGAAACAAGATAACTCCCCAGAACTGGACAAATCCTATGGCTTCCGATCCCATTATCCCTCCCTTGGGATTGGTTCTCACGGGCATGTTTCCCATTTTCAAACTGCAGTCCCAAGATATGAAATTCCAATAGACATGGCTTATGAACAATATCCACATCATGCCATTTTCACTGAGTAATTGTCCCAGAAGAATGGGCTTTATAAAGGACTTGACCTAGCATGTCAATGGATGTCAAGGCAATTTTGAACAATACAAGTTCTTCTGCATTTCTTTTGACTTGTCAGAGACTCTAGTAGGCCTTCATCATGTCAGATCATTCTGATATTTTAATATGCCTAGAATATTTAGTTCATATATTCGTTCATATATGAATTTGTTTGTTTTGCCATATTTCGCATTTCTCTTTGAGTGACTGTTATACACTTGACACGTGCAACATGCCATACAGTGACTGACACATTTACGGCCAAAAATGAACAAATTACACTAAGGAGTTGATTTACTAAAGGCCCATTGCAAGCAAATTCATGTGAATTTTTCACTTAGCTTAGTGAATGAGGTAAAGCTCTGGTGACTTCCATCATCCAATCATGTGCAAGCAAAAATACTGTTTTTTTTAATTTCTTGCTTGTGATTGAGTATTCTTTGCCAAGTTAATTGCAAAGTGTAAATTCCCTTGCAAAAAAAAAAACAGCCCATTTTCCATTAAATCAACCCCAAATTTTAAAATTCTAGACAACATAAATGACTTACTGCCATTGACAACTGAAGCAATTCTATAATCAGCAATAGCACAAATTTTTTATTGCATAAACACTCATTATTAGCATAATGTTTAAAATGCAAACCAAGTGTATCCAATATAAATAATAATTAACATGTCAAAATTACACTTAAAAAATATGCTACAGTGTCCCCTTAGTTACAAAACAAATTATGAATTGCACAAGTACAAGTAGCACTTTTTTAGGTAAAGGGCAGTTGTTGACCTGTTTGGTGAGTGTTTCTAATTTGTATCCTTTATGTGTTGCATGGTAAAACCACAGAAGCATTTGAGCAAGAGGGACAGTGCAAATCTACTTTGGATTGTCAGTCAAGTAGTTTTTTAGTCTGAAAAGGCAAATACAGAATTAAAATAGATGTTATCATCTTATTTTAAAACATCATGTGATGTGACCCTTTTTTACATGTTAGCAAACCCTTACAAGAATAAACCACAATGCTTCCAGTCAAGCGGCATAACAGTTCATGAAAAAAAACACTGTTAGCTAGAAAGGTATCTGGAAGTACTAGCACATTTATTTATTATGTTTTTTTTATATGTATTTTCTGGATTTTGTTACTATGGTGCTTGTAGAATGATGTTTATATGTCAAAATTGTCCCTAAGCATGTTCTTCTTGCACTTGAAGAACTATTTAAAAGCTATGTTCGTTATGTACTTTTATTTATTACTTTTATTTATGGTATTTATTTTAATTTAATTCAATTTTTGTATTGCATACTTATGTTTGTCCTTTGTGCGGTCACTATTTGACTTACTCCTGTGAAACTGCTTACAATTTAAACGCTGTGAGAATCATTTTGTAATCTCACATTTTGATTTAACAATGTTTAGTCATTATTTACTATGTAAAACTGTTAGAAACATTTTTGAGGCAGCTTGATCGCATTATGTCATTGAATTAGACATCTCATGGACTTTACGACATATACAACTCAAGACGTGACCAAGCGTAGTGATTCATTTTGTCTTGTTTAAATCAGAAGAAAAGTTTCCTTTTTTATTACGTAACACATTTAAGGATTACAAATATCTAAAAGAAAGTTTCTTCTACATTCAACAAATCCTTCATTTATTATATGAAATTAATAGAAATCAAGGCACGGTTATGCCGGGGCTATAGATAATCTTTTTGTGTAACTTCCAAATATAGATATTTCTTGGTTTTACTACTTTGAGTCAATAACCCAGAACAAGTATGCAGCAAGTGAAATCAGAATGAAGAGAGAGCTTTCTTTATGCATACTTGGTCCAGAGAAAAATATAAACCCCAGAGCATCAGTACGACAGCTAAGCAAGTAGCATTTTCAGAATTTGCTCAATAATGACATTCCTCATATTTCTTTACAAGTTTTCTTTGAATAAAATCGAAGAACATATCAGTGCATATTTCTAATTCTTCTAACCCCCAGAGAGTTTCGCTTTTTTAAAGGATTTAGTGATCCGTCATAATATCTTTATAGGGGTATTGCTATACACTAGCTGGGACAGTTCAAGTCCAATGCATTTATTTAACATTTTAGACAAACTATTGAAGCTAAAGAAATAAAACTTAGGGACAGAATTATGGAGGTATTGTTTTTTTTTCTTTACCCTGTGTCCCCTTTAAATTCCCAGTCAGGTTCTAAAGAATGTCTATTTTTTTATATGAACTTCTAGCTGATGGGCTATTAGACGTAAGCAAAGGCTAGACTGAACATGGCTTCTTACTGAGTTTAAAAGACGGAACACTGTTTATATACTATAATCATTTTTTTATTGAGCTCTCATAGTTAACGCCACTGTTCAGGACTTGTTCACACCAAAGCATGTGTTAATGCATGCTTTGTTGATATGTTTATTATACATTGCATTATGTTTTTGAAAGACTCAATTTAAATTAATTTGAAATTCAACTAGCAGTTTAAGGCTCCAAAAATGCAGCATGTAAGACTTTTGCTGTGTGTTGCAAAGCATCACATTGGTGGGAGCAGACCCTAGTGAAAACTATGGATTTCCTCATCTCTATGCATTTTGTACAAGCTAGAAAATGTGCAAAAATGTATAATACATCTGGTGTGAAAAAGCCCTTGTTACTTGGACTGGCTACCATAGACTGCATCTTATATGCAAAGACGTAATATTTTATATTGTTTACTGTAGACATATAGAACATGATGGTGTCACCAGTGTCCACCTTAGTGATATTGGCATACAATCAAGAAACAGCATCCTTGAGATTTTTATATTGAAAATAGAAAAACTGTTATTATTTTGCAAAGAAACAAAAAAAAAACTTTTTGACTCCAATAAAGTTGTGATTCTTGTTTGAGATACACACTGTGGTTTGTGGTTTCCATAGATTGTGCCTCTCTTGTGTAAGCTGAGTTCTGCTATTATACTGTCATAGGGAGCATTGCTATCTACTGCAGCTAGTCTGGGTTAGAGCCAGGTGCCAGCTGATCCTTTCCCACGCAAATCTGGCATAGTGATACAGTATGTGTCTGTTCTAACTTTTAATCCTTGTAGAGGAGACCTACAACTAACAAATAATATTTCATATAATAATAATATTGCAGGTCATTTTATGAGAGTAAATTCAATAATGTCATTCTCTGTGTTTGTGGAACAGTAGAAGACAAGTTCCATTTGTTCATACCATTTGGCTTTATTTGTAACTGGACACTGGTGAATTTACAAACTTAGACAGGAAATATATATAATAAAAACATAAAAACAAGATTGGTTTGCGTCCATATGAATAAATGTATTAAAGGAGAACTATGAGGTGAGTGCTTTTCACTCATCCTCATAGTTCTAGCCGACCTTTGACAATGAAACTGTCACAGGTCGGCTCAGTAGATCGGGAAGTGAGCGAACACATACCGGCATTCGCTCACTTCTCGATCCTGTCACGGCAGAGAGCCGTGACAGGGGAGGGACTGTCCGATCCTCCAGCACTGACTGGCGGAACGGACGGAGGAGGGGGTGGGTACAGCTGGCTCTGCCTCTAGATAGGCAGAGCCAGCTGTCACTCACGCAGCTGGGCGGATCCCGTCATCTAAGTTGGGATCCGCTCCGGCTGCGGCGTCTCAGTATACCGCGAGCTGTAGCTCGCGGTATACTGACGTTAGGGTGAAGGGAGGACGCTAGTTTGTGTCCTTCCGTTACCCTTAGGAGAACTATGGGGAAAAGCCCCCATAGTTCTCCTTTAAAGATGTTTTCTAGTTTACATGTGGACCTATAGTGTTCCTCTTGATCTTCTTGATAATGAAAGCATTACACATTTAAAATTGTAGGATACATTTCATTGACTGCAACTGAGCCTGCCTTCAGTTTTTTAATCATTTTCAGTGCTCATGTGAGTGGGCTGGCAGCACAGACAAATATCTTTTCTGCCTTTGTTGAAAGTTTAATACATAAACATCTCACTGGCTATGATGTTTTCTCTCACATTCCACTGCAAAATGCAATTAACACCTTGCCTCCACGAGGTCTCTGACCCCATGCTGGCTATGATAAACAGTTTATGTTGAATGGAGCAACATTCACCATATTTATTGCCAGATAATTTTTGTACAAGTCATTCTGAATTGAGAAAGCTAGTCGATTGACCAGCAAAACGTCTTCAAAAATAATACAAAAAGTCCAGTTGCTTTGATGTTTTTTTAAAGATATGCGATGGCATGGATGAATTAGAACCTTCACAGACATTGCACTAATAATCAGTTTTATGGGTTCCTTAGTGGATTATGTAGGTTAATAAGAGCTCATGGCAAGGAGTGGCAGTGGAAGTTTCCAAGAGTGGAGATACCATTAACTAATTAGTCATTGATATTTGCTTATATATATATATATGCTGGCAGCTTAATTTATTTAACAACATATACATTGCAATCTGAAGCTTATGTTTTGTCAGGCAGCAACATAACATGATCTTAAATCTCAATGTCTCCATATTAATAGATAAATTAACTTGGTCTCTAAGTGTAATGTTTTCAGACAGGACAGTGAAAATATCAGTGAATGGTATCCATTGCCTCTATTGTTCACATATGTCAGTAAGGGACTCTTTAGGTATTCATTCCATGACATGAGAAAAGATCACATTTTGAGAGTAATATGGGAATGAACTTCAGTTACCAAATTATGTATTACAAATGGAAGTAATGGACAAGAAACTCAATGTGTACTGTTGGGAAAGTTAGATTATTTTGTAGGCTATATGATATCTGATTTGTCATAAAAGTGGAATTGGCTTTATAGAGAGTCTGTCACCAAAAAAACACCCTGGAAACAATACATACAATTAAAATCTAAAGTCTCGAAAAGTATCACTGATAAAATAGTAGCAACTTATGTGAACGTTCATAAAACTGTATCAGATTGATTTATCCCAAAAATAAGAGGGTCAGATTATAGATCATTACAAGTGTATGTGTGTGTGACACAATCA